TTATGTTTTTTTTTTAAGCCAGCTGCTATGAATGTTGCAAGTAGATAAATCCAACAATAATCAAGGACACCTGAGAAAATGTCCAAGATTCCATCCTCTCCTACTTATCCAAAGCCAATGTGAAGACCATGGAAGAACAAAGTTATTGATATCTCAATCAATATGCATTAATCTATATTTCCTAGAACATTTGCCTCATGGAGAAAAAAAAATGCACTAAACATAACACACATATTATTCATATTTCTTTTGTTAGGAAGTAAAAAAAATATACTGTACAAAGTTATTTTCCACCATATAAAATAATATATATATATATATATATATATATATATATATATATATATATATATATATATATATATATATATATATATATATATATATATATATATATATATATATATATATATATATATATATATCCTCTAATAACACTTATCCTTCGGCACTGGTTGTAGTGTACCATCACCAGCTGAATAGACTAAGAATTAGACTAGAGAACGGAAGTTGCCTTAGAATGAGACATGGTACCGAGTAGCTTGAAATTTCTGTGAAGTTTAACATAACGTGATCTACACCCATATAATACATCCATTATGCTATTATGTAAATTAAATTATACAATGTATGAAAATAAAAACCAGGAAACAGAAAATTAATGGAGGGAACATTACTCAACAATGCACCACTGCAAAAAAAATCCAAAAAAAAACATAACATTTGTCCATCAACAACTCATTATGCTAACAAACTGCAGATCAAATGAATCAAGAGCTACAGAAATTAGTCAACACTGATTATCTGTAGCACAATTTGTAACCTTCAGAGCATCAATTACTAATGATAATACATAACCCGAGTTGGTTCTTTGTATGTCCATTACATTCATAACATGAATAAGAGCCATATCTTATATAACTATAAAAAATAAAAAGCATGAGAGTACCAAGTGATTATCATGCTTCCTCTATTACAATATACTTTGATCACATTATACACATAAAGGAATGATTAGGAATTCTTCTTGGCAAAAGATAAGTAATTGTCAGGGAAAGGCCATTTTATCACCAGAGGACTCACAACCTTCACACACTGACCTACACAAAGTAACATAAATTATCAGGGATGCTACTTCTTCCATTCCTGCAATAATTCCTACCAACAATTGGCAAGAGAAAAAACTTTTATTTAAAGCAAACTGATGCCATGTACTGTACTCATGTTCCACAACATTACAATTACTATGGTAACCAAATAATGTATACCACCTACAGTAAAATGAAAAGAGATCTTAAGTCCTATTATATTCCAGGAGCTGAAAAGTAGAAAATCATTTTACAATAAGTAATCAATGTGTATATGCATACAGTATATCAATCTATAAATACTAATCAAGTATTAGCTATGTACAGTCAACAACAAAAATTGTAGTGCCGCTTTCCATACTTCTCATTCTGGAGCACAGGATGAAATGTTTAGAAAATGTGGCTTTGCTTACCCAACACATACCTTGAGTTGTTGAGGTATTTGCTCATTCCCAGTTCCATCGGACCCCAGGTGCGCAAAATTTTTTTTGTTGACTGTACAGTTCACAAAAATGTTGCACGTGTGCAAATGCATGCACACGCACACTCTTAACTACTAATGTGACTCATGCAGTAAAATAAATACCAAACCTAATTGTATCTTCCATTTTGTATTCAAACATTTATTAACAAGGAGCAAGCTAATATTTTATAACACCTGGATCATTTTCAGCACTGCTCTACAAGAAAATCCAATACCTATAGCACACTAGAAAATCACTCAGTAACAGATTATAGTATCATTAAAATAATCTTTAGTTATTATATTCATTATGCAAGAAAAATATATTTTACAACACTTTCCATAACTTAAAGACTAAATAGTGTCAGTGTGTTTATTACCTTGCTCAAGGATTAAATGTACAGTACAGTATTTCAAACTTTTACTCTTTTTTTTATAGAAGTCTTTGGGGAGAAAATAAGATCAATATTGAATGTCTCAATAAGAATCCACAATGCTTACATATGCACTTCACAAATTTTCTATGAGTGACAAATTTTAAAGAGCCACTCATGGCATCAGGGGTCTTATGATGCTTATATAGCTGGCCTTTAATCTTTAAAGTTTCACAAAGTTGAGCAAATCAGTACACACTTAATGAAGTATATCACCTATTTCTGAACTATGTAAAAAAACACAAAACAAAAACAATCAGATTTTGAAAATGAAGATTTTTACACTTCCTACCCTAGACTGACCATCAACATACCAATAGTTGAAGTTCATTTAGTTAATTTTCAAAAGCATATACAGTACAGAAAAGAATACTGTAGTAACATGTTAATGCAGCGATATATTAGTACAGTACAGTGATTACAAATGTGACAAAGATCATTTTAGTGGGTTGAAGCATGGAAAAACTATTATAGAATACAAATGTTTTTTCATACAACTAACGCTTTTTTTAGCACCAGCAATAAGATTTTCTTTCTTTTGTGACAAATACCAAACACAAATTATTGTACAGTATTACCTCTCAATACCGAACTTCTATACTGTATATCAACATTTGCTATACAGTATACTGAAACACTCCTCAGATTCCAGTATTACCTCTCTCTCTCTATAGTGTACATTTTTCTCTATACTGTATAGTGTACTGTATACTGAGCCCTCTACCAAACTGTTCTATAATAATAATAAAATAAAAATAATAACAACAATACAAGTAATGACTTTACTGGAAACCTTGGTCTTCATTCCCACTGCATTGAGCCCTTTGTATATGGAGATGCATTTTTTTTTTTAGGCACTGATATTCAAAACCAAGGAGTTGTTATTTATGCATCAATTTGATACTTTTGGTTTTGATATAAAGTATAAAGAAAATAAGTATAAAAACAAACTATAAAGCACTAATTTTTAACTCTGAATGCAAAACAAAATCCAAAGTCTTCCCCACTTCCTAGTTCAAAATGTTTCCCAGGTCAAAGGTGTGCACTGCATGCTACTAGATGCAGAAAATTAAGAGGTTTCCAATGGAACAATGCATTTTTTTTACAACTAATATTTTTTGCTGCAAATTATGAAAAACTGAAGAAAAAAAGTAAAAGAAGCAATATTTTCATCGATAAACTATGAATATTATCAAATTGCATTGTAATGTGTAGTAAATTTTTTTTAAAGAGACTGGTGTGTTTAGTTTTCATATAGCCTGTATGGTTTGGTAGTACAGTAACCGAATTTACAAAACAAAAAAAATATGGGAGTAACTTTCCTCCTTCCCCCTACTGCATACAAAATCATAAAACCTATGATTATTATATAAACCTCAATGATTGTGTGGGTGTATAGTGGAGATGAAATGGATCTGTAGTGGATATGATGTTAATGCTTAATGGAGATGATGAGGATGTTTAGTGGATATTATGTGGACCTGTTGGATATGTAGTGAAGCTCAAGTAAATCGCATTCATCGTCGGTCTCATCATTATAACTTTAAGTTTAGCTTTATTTACTTATTATATTCTGGTGAATCTTCGGCTACCTGTACTACACCGAAGATAATACGAAAGGTTGTGACTCTTGAGACAAAGCTGGATGTAATAAAGCATCATGAATGTGGTGATGACCCTACAAAGATTGAGAAAGATCTTGGTCTGGCTGATTCTTCTGCTGCCACAACAGCTGAGGAGCAAGGCAAGACAACCCACCATATCCTCCTCCTTCAAATCGCTTCAAGCATCTTCAGTTTCCAGTCCCACTCCTTCAACCAGATTTTCTTCCACTCCTCCTACCTCTTGTGGTGTCCTTAGCAGATAGCAGTGATGAGGTGGACAACCCTCCTCATCTTATTGAGTAAGGTCCTTACTGAGCCCACCCCCTTGTGGTAGAGAGCCCAGACTGCCCTCCCATAAGGATATGTACTAAGTTATACACTTTTGTATTTGTGTTTCTCATGTGTTAGGTAGTAAAATTACAATAGTACTATTTATCCTTACTGTGGTTAGGTAGGTTTTTTTTCTTCGTAGGTTCTTTTATCATAAAAGGTTTTTCAGGAGCTTAACCCAGCCAAACTGGCTGTTAATGGATTAAATATCATATCCCTTTAATATGATTCTGTGAGTGATTACATATTAACACAGCTATAAAATGAAAACACAAAAATCTGAGGACCAAATGATGTTGCAGAAGATTGGTTTATCAGAGGATTAGTCGTACTCATTTTGGAGATACTGTACCCCAATTTGGATAATGTGCATGTCATGAAGGAAAGATATCAGCAAGAGTTTTGAAGAAGCAAAACAGATTTTCCTATTAAAATTGTTTGTCTCGATTGCTTTATGTATGTGTGTGTGTTGAGTGTATTTCAGAGTAGTGTTCATGTAAAAAGAATACTTTTAAGCCATCCTGACAATCTTTTCAAGAATGAATCAAAATTTCTCTTCCCATTTATGGGACTTTAGTAATTAATATTACTAACCTCACTAAATTGGGGAGAAAATGAGAAAGTTGTCATTAAACAGTTTGACATAGGTAACAACATCAGTACAATTATTCAGAATTCTGAACATTTATCTAAATTATATCCTGTACTGGAGCAATCAACAACAAAACAATTTAACACTTTTACTTTAAAAAATGTTTAAAAATACCCACAATATAATATTAATACTTTCCAGGGTCTGATAACTTTATATGCATTTCAAAATACACCAAACACAAAACTACAGCCTAATTTAACTTTTTCAAGATTGTAATCATAATGGGTTGCAGTATAAAAAATACAGTACTCCATATTCATAGTTATGATTTAACTAATAATTTTTCTACCTTATCTATATTCCATCCATGAGAATGAACTACTGTATACTGGATGGTTAACTAATTCTGTCTAACTACACCTTCAGCCATATGCCACATGATCATTTACTCCCTATCAAGAGCATTCACTCAATACTTTGGCCCCCCCAAAAAAAAAATATCATACATGCAAAATTCTTCAGCAAATGTTTCTAAATGTTGATGATCTTGGGACAAAACTCTGGTCAAAAGTTGATAAAAAAAAGACACTGAAATCCTACATGTGTGTCCTTCTTTGATAGTAGGAATATTTGCCATGATGTAAACTGTACTGTACTGTACACCCAGACAAACCGTAACAATGTATCTAATTATGAGAAATAATGTAATTAATTCACAGTCCCCTCAACTGGCTTGTCACAAAATACTTCCATTTTCAACAAAAGTTCCCCGAAAAGTGAAGACAACAATACACACCACTTCCACTGTCTGCCGTGGGGGAATGACTACAGGCAAATCTAAGAGGACACTTACAAGCTGATATGTGAATACTGTACCTATTATTTACCCTGAATACTTAGGAATGTTTAAGCAGTGTCAACAATAAAAATTAATGATGTGTCCACACAGATGGTCAACGATTTGAAAACCTACCCTCTACATAAAAGATGGTAAAGCAAAGCACATGCTGTAATGGGAAAACATAAAGTGAGCAGTACATAATTATGTTACAAGCATAAAGATGATAAATAATGTACTGTGCTATCTGAGATTTCATCCTCATACCCTGACATTAGTAAGAGATACTACTGGTACATAACCCTTATAAACCTTTATGTCACAATGTAATGAACGTTAATAATACTTCTTGATCACAACTTTTTGCTTAATATGATTGACTTTTCTTATGATTATCCTTATTATTCTATTATGTATAACATTAAGTGTATTGAAATGTAATCAAAATATCCTTGTAGGCTTAATTACATCAATATACCATTCTTTGTAATCACATATTCAATATTTCTATATAAAGCACTGAAATTACAATTTGCACTATGGTCTAGAAATACTGTACCCCATGGAAAAAATCCTTCCACAAATGCACTAAATTCACAACATATATGAACAACTAGCATTTGTACATCAAGGAAAAATCATCCATCACAACAATCACTATGGTGGTATTTTTACTTCATAAACTTTTAAATTATTACTTTGTTTGTCAGACACCTCGTCATTCATATATCATTAGGTTTATTAAAATCTAATATGATACCAGTTCGCATTAGTGATTACATAATTATATCAACAAGAAAAAGGAACATATGGTACTCATGACAAAAACTATTATATCTACAAGAAAGATTTTATCTCATACCAAACTTGCCATTGGATATAATTCAACTTGTGACTTACGTATCAGATTTTTTCACACTGTAAATGTGTAGTTTCCTGCCCCATGCTTTCGTCAAGACTCAAACAAGAGTCTCTGGTAGTGTGGATTAACTTGCCATGTTGGTAAGTGCAGTCCAAACTCCAATGCAACCAGGGCAGCAAACTCCCACTGAGTTAATTCACGCCGATTCAAGCGAAAGGTGCTCTCTGTTTTCTGAAACGGAAACACAAAAATAAATAAATTAAAATATACATAACAAAAACATCCTAGAAGACCACTTAAAAGACTAATTAAAGAAAAGCAATTATGAAACACAAATCTTCATACTAAGAGTAAACTGGTCTAAAGATGGGTTCCCTTGCTATGTAAATTATCCCTCCACTAAGCCTGAATAAATGAATGGAAGGTAGTTGGTTCATTAAGTAGGGTTCTAAGTACGTGGACCAGGTTATTCATTTTTCAAATTATCAACAAATTCTTGAATCCAGTGTTAACTTGTTACATAGGCCTGAAAATGGAGATCTATTAGTGTGTGTAGTGCATAATGAAGAGCCTCATACTTAACACAAATTTGCTCCCTTAATCTTGGTCCAATTATGACTAATGTCTTATGGAATAGGTATTCAAGTAAGCTCTCTGTTGACTGCAATAAAATGTAATATACTGTACATACAAATTACCTTTCTTTCAAACTGGAATAGGACAACATAAGAAATAACATAAATGCTGAAACAAATTGAAGTAAATTATATGAACATTCTAAAATAACATTAAATTAACTACTGCTTACTTACCTCAATAAGATTACTGAGGGTTTCACCTTTAACATCATTCATTTTGGCAGACAGAATAAGACAGGCCCCTGCTATAAGCTTACGATTTTGCTTGTTAACAATTGTTTTAAGGATTAATCGCTCAAAGTAAACATATGCTTGTGCCACTGTCAGCAGGTCTATGTCACACTCCTGGCGAGCTATCTTCAACACCTCTCGCTTCAAGCTGAAATGAAAAATATGCAAATGCTGAAGTATAGGAAGATTAATGGAATTAATTTTCTGTGAATGCAGGTCCAATGGGGTACAGTGACTATTGAGCCTCATTACTCAAGGAGGTAATGTGGTCACTACACTCAACTGTCTTCACTCAACCAACTAAAGTCAAGTACCCAATCACAGCTATATGTAGGTGGTATAAACCGGGGATCCTTAGGACAGAAGAAGATCATTGTATCCACTCGGTCAAAAAATTGGGTACAATGACCACCAAACTGCTCGAGGTGTTGTATTAATACACAAACCTAAGTAACCCTTTTAACTATCGTGACTTCAACATAATTGCAGCTATTAATTTCTTGTCCAATGAGGTGATGTCACGGTTTTCAGTATGATTCGTTCAAACTGGGGCATGACACAACTTGGCGGGAGCCCAGTGAGTGACTGACCACTCACCGGTGGGCTGGACGACGTTGGAGTAAGATGGTATACTGTATTAAAGAAGTGCCACGCCCTATTCCACACTACCTAACTTTTTTCTGGCATTCCCTCATATTTTTGCAGGTAGAAGGCTTCAAGATGGGCAGCTAAATTAAAGAACTATATCCCAATCGCATGTTTGAAAAGGGAAAAAAATGAGTGAAAAAAATAGAAAAAGTGACAGCCAGTCTGAGGTGACACAGCAACACAAGTTGATAACATTTACTTCTAGTATAGAATATTATACTTATGGCCTATTTCCTTGTTTAGAAGTTGGATTATTTTCAAAATACAGTACAGTAGTTCGGATAATTCGCGGATTTTTATTTCGCAGTCCTCTATTATTCGCGGGTAACACCCTGAATGTACCTAAGAATGTCTAAAGGTAGTGTTTAAGTTGCTGGCATTTTCACGGCCGGGACAGGGAGCCATTCGTTCTAGAGACAGTAATTTCCTTTACCTGTATTGTATACAGTATATACATATGAGTGTGTTTGTAGACACACACACACACACACAAAACACATGCAAACAAATAATAATGGAAAAATCCTCTCACAAATAATCAGAAATTTTTTATTAAAAATGTTGCGTCTACCCTCAAGTGACCTCCGTGCTTTATTAATAACAAAGCATGGAGTGGACTTGAGGGTAGACTCAATATTTCTAATACATTTCTTTCTGATTGTATATATGTACAGTATTGTATTGTATATATGTACAGTATTGTATTGTATATATGTATGTGTAGGAACACACACACAAAACACATACAAATAAATAATAATGGGAAATCCTCTCACAAATAATCAGAAAAAATTTATTACAAATGTTAAACGTGGTGAGTACATGTAATCTGATGAAATTGTTCTGCTATGTTTATAGATTTGGTCAATCTTATGACTGACAGAAGTACAAAATAAGCTTTTGAAGAAGTGGCATTATGAAATCATTAATATATCAACAAGAATCATATTATATAACTTATTTTTCATACAAACTACAATGCTTAACCATAATCATGTCAATCTAACACTGAGAAATATTCTAAAGAAATATATTTTGACAGTCAATACTCTAAAGTCTAAGACAAATAATGCCATTGTGTATAGTTGGTTAACAGAATGCTGAACGGTGGAGGGTACAGATGGGGGCGTGATGGTGTATGAGCAGTAGATTAAATTTGGTTGGTGTAAGGGCAGGAATCAGCAATTGTAAGCAAAGTAAGAGCTGGAGTGGAAGAATATGGGTTAGGTAGGTGTAAGCAGAGTGTTGCAAGGGTGAGTTTACTAGGTGGAAATGTATCAGTCCTCTATTCTATATTCAGTGATTAATGTGAAGAAATTTTGTTAAAAGCAGAAGAATCAACTGTGATCAGTACAATGCCAAAAAATGGAACTCACCTGCGCAATTTACTAAGAGTGAGTTGAATGTGAGGAAATTTACTACGGAATTTATCATTCAATTCCTTTTTCAACTCTGAGGGTTTTGTGTAGTCCATGACAGATGTCTGAAACATAGAAAACATAATTATAAAGACGATTCTTAACAAAAATGTTTGTACTACCTATGATGACTGTAACTTCTAAGACAAGTGATGGCATTCTGATATGACCAGTCTACTTGTACACCTGAAACTCATGAGAGTAAAAGTATGAATTGAATCGCCAATGTACAGCAATCTCCCCATTAGCAGGAATAATTGGTGCAGACCGGTTCCAAGTTTGAGAGAATGAAACCAAATTTTCTCATCCCGAAAATTTTTCCAAGAGCAATACTGGGGAAGTATTCCAAGAGCCTAAATACACAACTCAAATTGACACAAATAGAGCTGTCAAGACGTACCTGACGCTACTTTGGCAGCAACCAGGTCAACTGTTACGTTGGCCCATACCAACTCCCTCCCCTGAACCCCTCCTCCCCACCGGAATATCAACAAGTTCTCGCCTGAAGTTACTATTTCATTTGGGAAAGGAATGGAACCAGTGTTGAACAGTGCTTAAGTCAGTAAAAAAACTCAACAGTAACAGCCGAGTCGTATCCAAGTTAACCTTCACACAGTGAGGTCCCAGGTACCCAGTGATAACTGCCCCTGAGACTCAACAACACCAGCTATGTGTTAATCCGTCCACGATAGGAAGGCCTGGGACCACACCTCACTCACTTGAGTGAATGAGGTCCTGCGACACCAGACCACGTGGTGTCCCCATGATGCTACGACACAACGTAGTGAATGAGTTGCTACAGCATCATGTGAGGTTCCTCATAACATCATCTGTGAGTGAATTACTACACCATGTGAGGCCCCTCATAACACCATCTGTGAGGAAATTACTACACCACGTCAGGTCCCTCATAACACCATCTGTAAGGGAGTTACTACACCACGTCAGGTCCCTCATAACACCATCTGTGAGGGAATTACTACACCACGTCAGGTCCCTCATAACACCACCTGTGAGGAAATTACTACACCATGTCAGGTCCCTCATAACACCATCTGTGAGGGAGTTACTATACTATGTGTCTGCTGTTCAACACCTCAGCTCACAAGACCTACGTGACCTCCACTGTAAACATTAATCTGTATGTTCCTTTACCTTTCTCTAATGAAGGCTTTTGTTAAACCACCAATGTCAATGTATGTAATAAGTCATTTATGTTCAATGTATATTTTCAGCCTTCGGGCTGCAGAAATTTTTCAATAAACCGTTTATTATTATTATTATTATTGTTATTACAATACATTTTAAATAAACAAAATAAGCTACTTCTGTAGTGTACAATATACACTCTACCATTGTCAATTCGGATTTTGGCTTATTTCGTATGTTTTTTCAAAAATGTACTATATGATTTGAATTTGGAATGAATCCGGAATAACCTAGCGGCTCCGAAGTCATGCAGCGACGGGTTTGTAACATTTATTACCTTTAAATTTTTTACCTCATGATATATATATATATATTTTTTGCATATTCTGTTTGAGCAATTGTGTGTGCATGTAACCGAATGAAAGAAAATGAAGAATATTACGTATATCTACCCAACATTATGAGTAGAACAATAACAGCTCAGCCTCACCCACTCTGAGTGCTACTGGGTGGCGAGTGGGCTACACAATTACGTGCAATCTCCAGATATTTTCCTCATATAGGAAATTATTTCTCAATTTCCCTCGTTTAATGATTCATTCACTTAACGATCGTTTTTTCAGGAGCGCATCCCGATCGGTAAATGAGGGATATCTGTACTGTACATGAAACTACAGTAATTATATGAAAAATTTAGAAAGAATAAAATCTAACAATTCCTCTATATATTCTGCTACTGTAACAACAGAACACACTCGTAACCTAAATTAAAATAATAACAGATTGTACCTACCGACTCTCTATTAGTTTTAAACTGTCCAAAACTAGAAAAATTGCATAATGATAAAATAAGCCTGAAGCCCACAGATGGCAGGGCAGAATGTTGACCAAAGATTCTGAAACTGACCCGTCACTTCATAAATTTTCTTATGATTAGCTATTGTACAAATCTTTTAAAAATTAGTATAACTGGTAGGAGTAGACAGAAGGGATATTGTTCTTGTTACTAGTATGTACCAATAACTAGCTATATATCTACCAAATTATCTTTATTTTTCTTCTCTTTAGTAAAGGGGAAGACAAGTGTACAAAGTGACAGAAACAGGCTCAGAAAACAAGCACAAATACCTACACGTGCCTGATCATGTCCTTATACGAGGTGCACAAAGTAAATTCTCAATACAGTAGTTCAAAGTAAAATAAACTATGTTTTCTTGTACCAGTGTTCAGGCTAATCTCATTGCTTGTCAAGACAATATATTAATAATGGCAAATATTTGTAAGACACGTTATGACCTCATTGTACTCCAATTGTAACTCATTAATGCAGTCTTATAATTTTACAGAAAACTTCTCATTATCCAAGATGTATTGGTATGTGAATAAATTATAAATACAAATGTGTGGTGCATAATCATAACTCCCAACAGAAAAATACACTGTGTAAAACATTGAGTTGGTTCACTTTCTAAAACCGGAAGATGACATTTCAATATTTACCATATATGAAGGAAAACGCAACAATTTACGATGTTTTCCAGCACGTAGTTCAGGATCGTCCAACATATTGGGCATGTACTGCATACTTGCAGCATGAACGCTGGGTATGCAACGCCAATCATCGAGGTCATATCCGCTGCCTGGGGGGTAGTTCAAATCATGTCATTAAAAGGGGTAAAAAGTTCACAGCCTTAAGACTGTACATACACTAAAGCAATCAAATAATATCCAATAAAATGATCAATTATTGTCTAATTTACTCATAAAACAGTAAATACAACTGTGCTTTAATTAAAATGGAATAAAGTCACATTCTTAAACAAAATCTGTACAGTATCTGGAATCTTTAAGAGGATTTACTAAAAACTCCTTTCACTAAGGCCAAATATTTATTTTTCATTATACTGTATTAACAAAAATCTCAAATGAGAAAAACAAACAAAAAACAATATACATATATATATATACTGTATATATATATATATGAGTATACAGTACTGTATACACAACAACAGGTACAGTACAGACTCAAAACAGGACATTTTCTATCTTGGGTTAACTTAAAATTTCTTCCAAAATTTAATCCAGTTTTGCTTCTACATTCACTCTCACAAACTCAGTTGAATGTTCCCCTACGACCCAGGCTAGGGTGCCGCTGGCCGTACCCCCCACGCGGGGTAGAGAAAAATCAACTTCTCCAAAAATATTTTGTTTAACCTTTTTAAATGATATAACAATAAAAAAGAAGTAAGAAAAACTATATATTGACCCTGTAGAAACTTCCTTGTGGGAGCAGTGGCGAGGAAGATAAAGGGACAGCTTGTTTGACGGCTAGCGCTCGTGGTCACTATGCACTTAACGGCCATTTTCTGCTTGCCTTTGTGTCCGGGATGGCCAGTAATGCATATATTTACTGATCATAATACTTATTTCCTAAAAATAATTCATTTAGATTTTATTTTATTTGCACTATTTTTCATAATAAGTGTTTGGCGACACACACGCAGTCTGTCGCCAGGCTGTCTTTGTGTTTGATACAAATTATTTCTAGGATTATACCCAGTATTTCTCAAAAGCTAGTGTGGAACTATACAAGACAAACATGAAAAACTCGGGGTTTTTTTTACTCCCCGTAAAAGGGGTGAAACTATATACGAGATCGGTCTATAAATGGTACCTACTGAACGACATTTCACCATAGATTAATAAATGCTTTCTTATCACATTAAAGCAACAAAAAAATGTACGAGCAATATGTTTTGTCTGAATAACTTTTACACCTTTTACAATATTTATCTGCAGACAGGACTCTAAAATCCACCTGCCATGTTCATCATGTATCTTGGCATTGGTTATTTTTCTTTATTTTTTAGACTATAAAAACAACATACAGTAAAACTATAATTTTGGGTTAAGTTTAGTTTAGTAATTTAATTTTATGAATGATAAACTATGAACAATCCCTCTCCACAACTCCTAGTAAGTGTTAACATTCATGAAGTACCAGATACGGTACTGTCATTTACAATTATCTCTGGTTAATAAAATAAACCAAACTAACCTACCCAACCATACCTAATCTAACCTAACTTAATATAACTTACAATACTACCTTAACAATCAGATTTAATTTCAATTTTGTTTAGGTCTGCTGTACCTACACTTTACAATCACTAAGAAAACAATAGAATGGATGCTGGATGATGGCACTACCCACATTCATTACTAAGAGCCAAAAGAAATCATAACATTCATATTTTGTTATTTAACCCTTTAAAGGCATATATATACATTTACATGCGTTGTCCGCCCAGGATAGGATATATTTCACTATGAAGAAAAAAAGAACAAATCGCGGAAGACAATACTGTAAAACACACCCGAATTGAGATGCAGACATTCCCTGGGTTACAGAAGGGTTCCGATCCAGATAGTCTTTCTGTAATGCAAAACCATTTTCCCATATACAGTACTTCCATTATAAAAGTTGAGATGTATTCCTAAAGAAATTCTTATGAGGCCCAAAAATGTGACACAAGCACATATACAGTAAATATAAAATTAGACTGTTTTAACCACATACAATGAGTCAGTCATGGTGTAACATGATGATGACCAAAACACTCGAATTTTAATTAACAGAAACAATATTGAGTGCTGCAGGTGGTGGTGAGGTGGTGTGATCAGTTACCTCCTTAAAACATCAAGTTTAACATAATTTTTTATCACCTCAGCTTTCCCTTCAACTTGACGGTCTTTTTCCACTCGTCTTAAATTAGGGTAAACAGTAACACAGATGCATAACTGAACGGTGAAATTTTTTTTTCTATATCGCAATTATTTATTTTGAAAATCTTAATAAATTATAACCAAAATTTCATAAGGGCAAATAAAGTCCTAAATACAGTCATAACTGAACTCAATCTGGGGAAAGAATTCTTATCCGACCAGCACCATTGTTGTGCTGATTGCTGGCAATTGGATAGGTGAGCGGCCTTTCAACCGCCTTGTGGCCACCACAGACGCATTCACACAATATTTTTTTTACTAATTTTGCATAAAATTTGGTTAAAAGTTGTGATCTTTATTTTTTTTTTTTTTTCAAAATTCCACAAGGGCAAATTTTTTTCTAAACCCCAAATTAAGGTCTAAATATGTAAATTTCATAAGAGTGAAATTCCATAACCAGAAATTCTGTAACCCAGGGGATGCCTGTACAGTATTTCAATTACAGGTATTATTTTTTTATCATTAGAAAAGTGAATCTTTAATTCATATTTAATAAGTAAATACGAGAAATAATAACTTCTTGAAGAAATCACGGATTGAACTGAGAGCACAGTACATGTTTTTCAAGCTCTGGAGCAAGCCGCAAACATCATCATAATAACCAAACAACAAAACAGCCATGAGCACACCCAAACAATGAGGCACAAATCCTAAACATCAAATAATGTCCACCACCCTTTAAGGGTTAATTAGTAAAATAAACATTCAACTAAGTTTCTGTGAGTGACACAAGCGTGTGGAAGCAAAACCTGATGAAGTCTACTGGTAGGCCAAGGGTAAGAGATGGAGGACCCAGGAAACTAGAAAATCCTCAAAACCTGTTTGGTCTTGGTCCTACGGGTCCTGGATTTGAGGATCTGTACCTGTGTGTGTGTGTGTGTGTGCGCGCGCATGTGCACGTGTAGCAGAGAAAGCAAGTACAGTATCTGTGAATACAAATTTACAGGGAAAATCTAAGTCAAATTTCGGAATGATGTGGGAAAGCAAGGAAATTTAGTGTAGTATCCTTGATAATTGGACTGTAGGAGTGCACTGAGCACTTGTGCCAGTGTAAAAGAAGAATGAGTATACATTCCTTTACCACATGAGAATTAAAATGGAAGAAATTATGATAATATATGAACACAAAGTTACTTCATATTACAGAAGACAGCATTAGGACTCAAAGTAAAAAAATAAATAAATACTTTATCAATAGTTTGGCCAAGGTTTTAGGCACTTAAAAAGCAAACTAAATGCATAAGATTAGCAGGTGCATTTTCTTCAGTTGCCCTGGAAAATCACAGTGAGGAAATATTATTTATAAAAGACAAATACCATTACTCCAGTTACATGCAGTGAGTAAATACATCAATTCCCTCCCACTCAGGAGATTGAGTTCTCTTAGGCTTACTCGTTTTTATAGGGGGGAGGGGGTAAGGAGATATTTTTAGTTTCTTAACAATTTAGCCTTACATTCTGGAAATATTCATATTAAAATAAAGCAACAATTTAAAGGTACACTATGCCCAAAGACTTCAATTGATTAGGAATAAGTGTTTCTCTTACCTCTCTCTCATCACACATGAAAAACAATTACTGAATATTATGTATGGATTACATACAAAGTACAAGGAAATGCCATCTGAATCAAGACAATAACCTGCTCTTAGTAATAAGCATTACCTATTACTATTTATTTCCAAACTATATTTCAGCTTATTATTCTATAAAGGTAACTGAATTTTCTCAAAATTCAGCCTGATCCTTCACAATTTGCAGTAAAAAACATGAATTTAAATTCTTTAATATATTGCACTAGCTTACAGATGAATTTTATTTCCCGTTGCCACTCACAAAAATGAAGAGTACATAACGTAATTCTTTCCCTCTGACTCATCGTCATCACTATTTTGTGCCTGTTTTTAATCCCCTACAATACTATACACTGAGAAGTTAAGGTACAGATGAAAGTTTGAATTTTGCTATAATTCTGTAGTCAAAAAGAGACAAGGACATCCGCTGGAACTTTTCCAGTGGAGGACAAGGGGATAGGCAAGACCCCACAGTTGGGTTCCCACATGGTGAAATTTTTCACCAGAATGATGAAATTTAGCTTCAGTTTTTACTGTCGGATTCCCCCTTCATTTTTGTTAGATTCTAATTCCCCTTCTTTTGTTGGGTATGTGTTGCTTATATATTTTGACACAAGCCTGATCTGGGGTAGGGGGGAACTGCCTCCTCTCGCCCCCCACCGGATGATGAAAAAGAGAACACTGAACAGTCACGAGTCCCCCATCTCCCTAGTCATATTAAACACTGCCAGCCTCATCCCAGTTTGGATGTGTGCCACCCACCCTACACCATCTTATTCTCTTTACTGACGTTTTTGTACTAAACTAAAACATTAATATATACTGTACAATATAAAATTGCTATTTTTGCTTCATAAAATATATTAGAGGGGATATTAACAATCAAAATACTGTACTGTGTACAGCAAGTGACAATTACTTATTAATATCATGTGCATACAGCAACAAACTAACCCTGCTCTGTATAACAACATGAAACTTTAGGTTAAGACTTGAAACTTAATCTTGTGGTTATCATCATGAAATGGTACCCATGTGACAACACATGTGAGGGCAGACTTGTTTATGTGTTAAGGCATATTAGTTATAAATAATTTTGTACCTGTATTCAGATTTGCATTTGACTAGGTACAACTGTACTAAGTGGCAGAAAGAGGCCTAGAACATGAATTCACATGTTTACCTGCATAAGATTGAATTTGTCTCCCACAATGAATTTTTTATAAAAGAAATCGGTACTTGTATATAACCGAATTTGCATATGCTAACCATGTAATATTGATAATGTAACAAATAAATGTTATTTCATTACATAAAATGCTAAATGCTGTAATTCAGGAGTGAAAAAAAGGTAAAAATTACCTCGGCTAATGGCTGAATTAACATATTGGCTTGGAGTTTTTTACTCACCAACAATGGTAGAGTCTGTTATTCCAAATTATGGAGGTTTTACTGTATATGAGGCGCCCCACATCGCACGGGTTATTCGCGCCAAAATTTGAAACCGAGAAAACCGCATTTAAAGCTTTTCCAACTTCAAACCTGCATAACTGTCGTTTTATGAAATACAGCATTCATTTTTTATGCTTTTTGAAGCTAAAGGACTGTACAGGACTTGCAGATGGTAGGTAGCGTGTCATGAGGTATGTACTGGGTTGTTGCAATGTTGATTTAAAGCAACAAAACTCCCACCTGCTAATAGCTTTTATCACTTTAATCGATATCAGAGTGTAGATCCCACCCGCTGGAGGGGCCGTGGCGTAGATAGCAGACGCTCCGTCATTGGTCGAGACGGGGGAGGAGGCTGTAGGGTGGCCGGTGTGATTGGCCGCCCGCTCCTCTCACTCACTCACTGACAGGATGAGAGCACCTTACGGCTTAAAGCCAAGCCCATAATTTCCTGTGTGCCACAAATCGATGTTCTACCCTATTTTCAAAGGGCTTCCCACCTTATTTACAGTGTAGTAAGGAGATCTTATCAATTGCCATTGTATAGAGCTAGGCCGAAAATAGTGCTTTCCAACAAAAAATGGGTTTCGCTCGGATGGTCTGAATGTACCTTACGATGTGGGATGCCTCATATCTCATTAACCTGACTGCCTTCAATAGTACTCATTGCATATCTACAATATTTATGTAACCACAATGAAATCACAGCACAGTGTATACAATATGAAGCATTATTATGCCTAATAATCCCTTTCAAGTATTAAATTTAATTCTGTGGACCTATGTCGATTAGAAAATGGGATGATTTCTAGATCACTGAGTGGTGTAAACCTTGAAAAGTCACATAACATTGAGGAATGGAGGGAAGAGGTCAGACCACCATTCCAATCTTAAGCACTGAGAGTCACTCAACAAATTGGTCATACATTTTGTTTTATTAATAGTTTCACAAAGTAAAACAAAGTACTTGTAGGTGCTTACTGTACCAAATAATGTTCTATATTGAATACAACATTACAAATACACAATACAGTACTGTAACCATACTTCTTTTGGTTATATCCAACATGTATCTATAGGCTGCAGCTAACAATAGCATAAATGCCTGTACAGTACAGGAGAACATGCACCGGTATGTTAATATTTCCTTCAGCATGTTTCAAACAAAAATACTATTTGTGCAATATATTAAAATTTTTGTTCCATACAAACATACTGTACTAGAAAATATATAATCACATATACAGTAATTAAAGATAGCAATATTCTCTCTAGTAGAAATGTATCCCCTGATTAAATGAGACAAAGTATGGGAAGCACTGAACTAAAAATCCAAGAACACATACCGGTATTTAATGTTTTGAATATTCTGATTACATGATAGTAACACACAAAGAATATCCTCAGGAATATGTGCAAAGTGCTAATGAAAATAATATTACTACACTACCATTCCAATTCCCATCCACTAAAGTTTCTTTAACATCAAATGTAATTATTAAGTTCCAATTAGGATAAGTTACTACAAATTTCTTACAGGTTAGCCACTCCTCTAGATCTTCGAATGGGAAATCCCCTAGCATAATGAAGGCAGCTGTCAGCAGAGATCACCTAACAGACTCTTGGAGTTTTCCCTATAAAAGAGTTTCGAGTCTCTTCACTGGTCATACGATACACATTTAAACGACACAGGCATAGAAATTTATCAAAGGATGAAATTTTTCATGAATATAAGGCCTTTTCTACTGCTATGTACGGTAGCCACAAAGATGATGATAATCCCAATTCTACGTGTCCAGTAGCTGATGAGTTATTCTATCCATTCTGGTGAGGCAGTAGTCCCCCTTGGGGTTGTTCCATCATTGATAAGTACACTACAATGCAAGGCATTTTCTGCTAAAATAGGAACATGAGGCAATTACAGTTATTTATTAAACTGATGAATGAGTGATAAAACTTTTATAACAAAATACAAGTTACAAGGACTGAAAAGACAGGGTGAAGTTACATTTGTTCCAAAGGCATAGTGTATCAATTAGGAAATACCATCTACTTTCTTAATCTTCAATTTAACCCTTTGCCCCAACCCAAATAAGTCAATATTTATAGAAATCCAGTGATTCTTGTATTTCATAAGCCTGAGAATTCAAACTTCTGAGGCTTGTAGCAGTGAGAGCATCCAGGAAAGAGAAGGAAGTAAACACAACTGTAAACTACACTCCAAATCCTTTTTAACTCAGCATAATAAAAACATTAAAATGAAAACCAAGAATTTCTGGTACCCTTTCTTATCATGTGTTCACCAGTCTCTAAAGCTCTCAATAAGGTCAAACCCCCGGTAATGGTTGAGGTGCCACACGCAACACCTGCAACAAGTGGTTCAAGGCTTCAGGGCACACTTACCTACCCATAATTGATGACTGTCTGCCCCTGTAAGCATCTTTATGGAAAAATAACAACAAATACATGGGCATAATAAAATATTTGTCATTGAAGGTGCAGTCTCTAAATATGGAGGAGAGCACACCCCACTAGCGCCTCCCCAGTTCTGAAGCTTAGGAAATAATGTGTCCCAGTACTCAACTCAGTAACTAAAGCATAAATTAATATACATACTATATTGAATTAAGGTTAAAAAACATTTAAAGTATTTCTCAAAATAAACACCCATAAATAAGTAACACAAAAGTCACAGGATGCCAACACACACAGTTTTCTTTCATAAGGGAAATATTTCTGAGTATACATTTTCACAATACAGTATTGTACCTTCTGTTAGATATTTTATAAATATCTATTGTACAGAAAATCATCTTAGTACAATAAAAAAAAATGAAAAAAATAAAAGAAAGATCAGTGGTTCATACATCAAATGAATTGCAAAGAAATTTAACACGATATTTGGATACGTGTTTTGAAGATTCTAAGAGCTGACAAATTGTTTTATCTAAATTACTGTGCAGTAAGTAAATACTGTAAGTTTATTTCATTGTTTTATTAATGTTTTTCACCACTGTACATGGATTAAAAAACAAAAAACAAACATACTGAAATACAATATGGTTGTGTTTATGGGTGATCCAAGTACAGTACCTCAAACACACAATGCTATGGGTCAGTGTTATTTAATCCCCACGAATAGCAAGGGTCAACTTATATCCTAATATGCAGGGCTAGGGTTACAACGTCCCCAAATACTGCAAATTGAAAATCATTGGCACCTATAGGTAATGTGGGGCTACAATCTGGGTCCCAAAATATTACCCTTCCCAATTTTTTTATTTTTAATTCACATGTTTAGTAAATTTGGAAACTTTTAATTAAAAAAAATATATATTGACAAAATAGATTACAAAAATAAATATACAAACATATCTGCACCTATAGAAAAAGTAAAAAATAAATAAATATTAGGTGTTATATCAAATGACAACATCCCCTGGACCCCCTCTGAGCTGTGAGAAGCACCATTACAGACCCTAAATCTTTCTAGGTGGATCAGCTGAGTTGCTACATTTACCTTAATGTAACAGCTACAGCAGTTTATAATTTCCTCACAAGAGTATTTTATAAAGTACTTTTATAATAAATATTTTCAAGCATTTTGTGTACACAATTCAATTGACAAAATGAAAACTGAAAATCCATGCTGTGCAGATCTACTGTATATATTAAAAATACCTGAGAGATCCTGCCATTGCAATGGGCAAGTTTAATTGAGCAACACAACATGACAAACAGTCCATGCCAACAATGTTGGGCCTGTCTAACAGATTCTCATCCAATCAAATCAGGATTTAGTGGATACCTAGTGAAGGTGTCCATGTCAGGAATCAAAATCTTTCAGACTCTCACACTCTCACACACTTTAAACCTTCTAGGTATTAGAACAATATAAAGAGGACTCAAAACTCAGTCCAATCACAGTACACATAGAGTCATATCACCCAATGCAAGGGTTGTATTCTTGAAGGATGATGCATTTCATGAATTCCCATTCGGCAAGCTTCAGAGTAGGTGAAGAATATAGGGAGCGGGATATTTGGTCTTCAAATGACCCCAGTATAAACTAAATGCAAGTTCTATGTTCCTAAAAACATAACTTTATCAAATAGTGAGAACATTATATACTGTACCCATGTCTGGGTCAAGTTTCAAGTCAAAATCTTCAGGCTAAAGTCAGGGAGCCACCTTAACACTCTTGGGGTTTTCCTACACAAAATTGCGTATGATCTAAATTATCACTTTAGGATTTTCATATGCAAATTTGTATATGAAGTAAAAAATTCAAATAGAGTAATTTCATGTTTGCATATGAACGCTAGACACGCAAGACAGACATTTTGCAATGTCAGCACAATCTGGGATCTATGTAGACTGCACTTCAAGGTCACCACACCAGTCTCCCTTTTGTGTTGAAAGGCCCCAGGATATAACGCCAGCCCACATTTCCCAAGCATTTTCTTGTGTCTTGTGCTGATTTCTCGTGCATTACAATGATTTCATTTATTCATAACAGTGTTGAGAGAGCTTTGAACCATGCCTCGTGTTGCTGGCGAGGGCGGAGGGGTGGGGAAATGTAAAAAGTGCAAGGAGACTGTACCATGTGGTGCCTCCTGATGCCTCTCCTAGTGTCCCTGGCCCTTCAAGTATAAGTGATAGTTTGTCTGGCCCTTCAACAAGTAGTCCTAGTGTTATAACTCAATACAGTTCAGTACAGAATGTACAATTATCTTTTGTGTCCGGAGGGAAAAAATTAATAATCTGTACTCAGCCTATGCTCTCTCATCAGAATGCAAAATTTACACCACTATTACCAACCAAAATATTAAAATTTTCACAGCTTTTCTTCTATAACTATTTTTCCTAAATATGTACACTTTATAACAGAATAAGGTTCACATTGTAATCACATGAAATAACGAAGGTATGTATTAACATTTTCATTAAGCGTAAACAAATATTTTGTGTTCTTGCTCTTATGCAGATACCAGTATAATTATTTTATACTCATATACAACTGTTTATGGATAATTTATTTACAATGCTAATGCAATGAATCCCAACTACTTAATTTCAAATATCATGCTTGCTATGACTCATTACTGTACATACAATTATCTCTTGTGAGGTGAACAACAGGCCAGACCCCAAGCTTCTCATGGGAGAGCACCTACCTAAACCCAAGAGTGTTAATGTTTCTTTCCATGAGACTGAAATTCATGCATGTGCCTGTGTCAAGGCATTTTGAACAGGAAGAACAAGCTGTGGATGCCACTAGAGACCCAGGCTCAATATTCAACATAGAGTAAACCCTTGATAACTCGCCATTCGATATATAGGAGTTTCATATAATTTGGCATGTACAGTATATGGTCTCGGAATTTATTATAAAATAATTCGGGAAATGCCGAGTTATATAAAATTATCGGGGAAAATCTTTGCATATTTGGCCGCGTGGGTAACATTCGCTGCTCTACCTTGGCCAGTCTGGTGCTTGTCATTGTTGTGGTCGGTGCGCGCTGCCTCACTCCACCCAATACATAGACGTGGGACGGGAGGGTGCTGTAGCATCCAATATTTTGGGTATAAAATACTATACATTGCACCAGGTATCTAGGGCACCAGAATTAATATTCAGCACTTCCTGGTAAAGTTTGGTTCCTGTGGTACTGATCCCAAAACAACCAACAACCTCCCCCGTTCATGTCAGGTCAGCCACTGTAGGCAGAACTTTTCCACTATTATGGTAAATCCAATGTCATAGAATTGATTTAATTTACAGTTCAATTCATTTTATCCAATTTCCAACTATCTGAATCTTCCAGGTATCCCAACTTTATCCCCTTTGGTAAAAATTCTAATTTAGTCCAACAATCCAAAAGCAACTTAAGTCATTTATTTGTGTTTCAGACACCAGTAGGACTTTAACCGCTTTTTGAACCAAATGTGATAAACAATAAAACTGATACATAGCAGATCATAAAATACAATGGCTCCTTCCACACTCAAACCATCATCTAAGTGATGCCACAGTTCAGCCAGGCAGTCAACCAGCTGACTGAGATGCGTGTGTGCCGTGACGTCACATGGGAGGGAGGGAGGCGGGTGAGTCAGCCACGCAGTACAGCTCACTGCCTTCACCCCCCCCCCTACCACACACCTATGCTCTTCATTTTCTATTTTACAGTTTTATATTTCCTTTACTTCTAAGCCATATTAGAGTAAGTTACATGATTATTTACATACTCAGACTTGAATTATATGTAGAGAAAACAATTATTTTTGTTAAAATGTATTCTTTATTTTGTACGTGACCAAATTACAGAAGCATACATAAGTGCTGCACTGTTTACTGTTTATGTAGCCTTTCCCTTCCATCACCTACCATGCCTCTTGGTTACTACAAAGCTTCCTTCTTTGCCTGCAGTGCTGGTAAGAGTTACTTTTTGAAAACCAGTCATTAAATGTATATATACATGAGCCGAAAATTTTTTATTGTTGTATTTTTGTGGTGGCGGTGGGGGGAGTGCCCAGACAAGTCAGAATTTGGGATAATATGGCAAGGCCAGAGCCCCACATGTGCCGAGTTATCAAGGTTTTACTGTACTCGTAATTCCTGACGCTCTCATATTTTCTCATTATTTTTATTTACAGGTGTATTTATTTTTTTATTCTCAATAAGTATCATTTGAAGTAAACCTCATCACCACCTTTCTTTCTTGAGTAATTCACAATATTTAACATCATCAAGATTTCCGGTGTTTTCATATTTGTTCATTCAATTAAATTTCTTCTGAAAAAATCTAAAAAAGGTGTGTTTGAAGTGAATCTCAAATAATCTTTTCTGAATTTCAAATTGTCTGAAATATGGATTCATTTCACATTGTTCTTCCTCACCATTTTGGTAGCACTCATACCATGCCATCATTTTTTTAACAACCTGCACTTCACTTGGACAGGCAGGTGCTTTACGTTTGGAAGCAATTCTTGAATTAAGGGTAAAACAAAGAATTTTCAAAAAGAAGAGTAAGAGCACTTGTCATGTTTATTTTTCCTTACCGATAATGAGCTGTAAATGGGTGTGAGAGTGTGAGAGTGCAGCAAATGGGTCCTGCTGCCCAATCTAACACACATACTCTATAATAAATCATGTTCTCCAAAATGCTTACCATTGAGAACACAGCTATGCTCCCACTATAAGAACTAAGAAAATCTCATTACAGAACTAATGTTGCATATCAAAACAATACATACAACACTTTCATGGCCAAGTGACATGGTACACTGCTGCTTAGAACTAGATAAAAAAAAAGCATATATTTCTCCTGTCCAAGAGACCAAACTACAGTAAATAGCTCCTTTCCTAGTTGTCTGCAAATGTGTCACATCCATCACCACAGTATTTCATGTCAAAATAAAGACTTACTTTCTAAATATTTAAATTTTAGATTGGATAAAATAACTTTAGATTCAAATGTACAACTGTTAATTATAATAAAGTGGTGTGTTAAACTAGCTACTTTGATGTTATATACTACAACTAAATTATGACAGTTAAACATTCAAGATGCTGGAGCTACAGCATTTATCAACTTACCTTTCTCAACATGACTATGTGGGGAGTGTGGGATATAGTGGGCTGTGGCTTTATGAGTGGCAGGCTCATAGCTAAAGCATCGAGCTACACCAGGATGCATACAACGCTCATTAGGATCACCAAGCTCGGTGTGCTCTGACTGCTGACGCCGTGGCTTGCAGAAGAAACTACGTGATGGTACCAGAAGCTCACAGTAAGATACCTCCTGCAATATCACAGTTTGGGAACAATCAGAATATTCTCCAAATATTGATGGAATATTAAAATCAAGTAGTTCCACTAGATTCAATTACTCGTATAAACATAGATGCATGAAAAAGAATGTCATTAGAAGTGAAAATGTGAGTAAATTTTAATGACACACACACACGCACGCACGCACGCACGCACGCACGCACGCACGCACGCACGCACGCACACACACACACACAAGGTTTTCATATAAATAATAGTGCGACTGGAATGAGAAAATCTTTAGGCAATAGTGAGATGAAATTGAAAACCTTATGACAATGTTCTCAACAGTTTTTCCAACAAAAAATATTTATTAAAAAATGGCAATGAAGGAATAAAAAATATTATCTTTGTCAGAAGAATAAATTTTATGCTAAAGTCAGTTATGGAATGATGTGAAATTTTAAAATCTGCACACAATGTCACAAGTACCGTATAAAAATACTGTGTATAAAGAAAAGAAAATAACTTACCTAATGCCTATGTAAAGACCTTAATCTCCATATAGATTTAGAGTAAATTTCAAAAGCATGAGTAGGCACTTTATCAAAAAATTCTGGCAACTATCAAATTACAGTAGACTCTGATTTTACACATTTTAACAACAAGGATTGTACAAATTAAAAAAGTTAAGACCATAATCTTAACACAGTACTGGGGGATGTTCCTCATGCTACACAGTTCATCACTTAAAATACAGTACCACATAGTTCTCTGCATTGTAGTATGGAACCAAAATTTGCACTGACAAAAACACATATACTGTACAGGTATCTCTCGTACTACAAACGTCTGTGATACGAAAATGTGTCTAGTTAAGATTCCATAAATTGACACCGCTATTTCGAGATAAGAAAGCTTCCTCCACTTATATGAATTTGGGTCCAGGCAAAAATTCAAGTTTTTTTTTTTTAACCTATCCCATTTATATCTTGAGGAATACCTGTACTGTACATGACTAAGTTCAATACCTGTGTAAGTGTACTTATATGTATTTGCTTATATTCATGCAATTATGTCTTTATGAAGTATGTTCTATACCATCACTTCTAGAAAAATACAGCCACACCTCACTATGTAACTGTGCCTCATCAGTGCTATTTGATTATAAAGAGAAAAGTACTTCCAGTGATATAAAAAGTGCCTACAAATTTAAATACAGTACAGTATAGTTCTTTGAGAGCACCCTCCACCACCATGAAAATACTGACAAAAATACAAGGCGAATCGAGACCAATAAGCCCTCGACATGCATATTTTCAGTATCAATGGCCTTCATCTCTGAAAATCTTTGAAAACTAAATATACCAGTTTTTCATGTCTTCAAAAAAAATATTAAAATCCACAAGAAATTGAAGAGTTTATTTAAGCCATGCATATTCCAGTACAATACCAAAGGACTTCATCCTAGAAAACTTCATAAATATCTAGCCACAAGTTTTCTTCACAGTTCAAAGTTTGATTTTTTCTTGCTGCTCCCCCACAATAAAGAAAACTTAAAAAATAATTTACCAAATATCTAAAATGATTCTTAAGACCAACAGTAAGCAAACATCATTATTTCATCCCAAAATATTTTTAATCAAGCATGGAAAAAGTGGCAAGTTTACTACAGCAACAATTCTTTCTACCAGTTGACAACTCAGGGTAAACTGGACCTGGCTCGTGCAACCTGGCTCATAATACACGAGGAAAGGCAATACTATTATAAATCAACATTCAACTATTTGGATGAAAAGTTGGACAAAAAACTGCAGTAAGAAATAATCTTCTAAAGCACAAGAAGAGATCCATAAAGGCTACAACTATGCAAACTGATGACAGTAATGTGTCCAGTGAATGGTTAAGAGAACTCTCCCCAATTATATCACTTTGCCGAAGAAAATTTGGCACAAACAAGAATCTTGCCTTCGCTATTTCTAAGTTGGCCAGAAATCTAATTTTGACTTTTATCATGACAGAGAGCATATTAACCAAAAGATTGCAGTGTTGAGGATAGTCATTTCTATTCTTCAAAGTAATTTAATTTTAACTAATTTCTGATGATCAAAAGTTGCATTGAAATGTGAACTCAGCTTTTCACAGTCAATACAAAAAATATATATAGGTCCAACCCAATTAAACATGAGCACATAATTATGACATGTAACTACAGAGGAGATACATGATATCTGCAAATATGAAGGAAAATTATTGTATATTTTCACCTTGCTCCCAAACTTTTCTGGGTCAAGAGAACACCACTGGTAAAGCGTTTATGACTGACGTAGCTATATCAAAATGTAAAAAACAATCTTAACCTATTCTTCATGTATATCTTTTGTACACTAACACAACTGAAAGTGGATCAACTGACTTACCCTACATTCATCATTGCGATCAAAGCCTAACAAATGAGAGGGGTCTCCATTATCACTAATTGTGGAAAGCGTCCGGTTTCCTGAAGTATGGCGTCGACGTCCACTCTCGCCTCGGCCATAAAGATGATCACTTCTCCTGCAATATCCATAAAAATTGATTTCAATATGAGTGAATCAAGACACTATGTGCCTCAAAATGTTGACATCCTTCAATAATAGTGAATTTTTTGTCAGACAACTGGGCTGACTGTGGGAGGTTACGTCAGACTTCAAGACTTTGTTAAACATAACGTTGAAGTAAAAAAAGTAAAAAATAAATACCCCTTTTTTAACAAATCAATCCATTATCATTTCCTAATATTATTTTTTCTTTGTTCGTATTGAAAGTACTGTTTAATCTTGCATATCATTATTATTTAGTTATTATAAATTTCCCCAAATTGCTATTTTACTGCTGCTCTGCTCTTTACTAATATCTTCTACGTAAAATTTACACTTAACTCCTTCACTATGGGGACGCCAGTTTTACTATTTCATTTGGCTAACACCAGACAATTTTATTCAGCTCAGAGGGGATCCCGTACACAAGGGGTTAATCACCCTCTGTTGCACACTAGAATGCCCTGCAGCACTGCATAAGGGTCTGATCATTATAACTTCAGTTGTAGGAACTATAAATATATTTTCGTACAGTATCTGCTGGACAGTTCTCTTACTGAAGATTTTGGTGTCAGGCTGGCAAGTGCTACATTCTTTGACACATCTTATTTATGCATGCTAGAATGATTCTCAAATTACATCATATGCAAAAGAATCAGACATACAGTACTAAGCACATAAAATGACAAATGTAACAAAAGGAAGCATTGATCTAATTGGTTCTGTCAACAGGTTTGAAATTTTGAGGAATTCACGCCAAATAAAAATCATGCACATAAGTTCCTCAGCAACGTAGGTTTTCCAAATATTATCAGATAGAACCTGTACTGCTAAAAGCTATGACGGAAACACTTAAACACAGCCGGTGACTTTAGCAAGCTATGCTAATCTGGTTGCATGAGATACTGTACAGGATATGTATAATGCACACTGATATGTTACTAGTATGTATAAGCATAGCCATTACAAGCTGGGATAAATGGTAACTATACACCCTTCACTAAACCTCAGATACGTTGCTCTCATTGTGTGGGTACAATACTTGGATAATAGACAACTCCTACCAGAGAACAGTTGTGTAATTTTCTTAATCCTCAATGCACTGAACAAAACAATTATCCTCTAGTAGCAGAGTAACTACTTCAGATTTAGCTTAATCTGTTACTATTCCACTAAGTTGGGACTGGATCTGAGCTTTAATCACTATTATTCTATCACGATCTGTTGCAACTTAACTAAAATTGGGTAGAAAATTACCTAATTACAGATTGAAGTTAAACTTATGCAGAGGAATTTTTCTCAAGATTCTGCCTTACCCTCCCAATTTAGACTTGTTGTACGGCAAGGCAGAGAATATATAGAAAGGAATTTTGTGTGATGACAGCAACACAACTCGCTCATCCCGAATCTGTAGATCATGTGCTGTCTTCATAAACTTGACCTCCTTGCTAGGTGGGCCCGAAGAATCAGATACGCTACTTGACAATTTTCTTGTGCGTCCACCTCCGATACCTGGAAGGATACAAAAGAAGGAAATAAAAACAGGTAAGGTATTCACATAGATAAAGTGTTGAAGCGTAATATGAGTGTTTAATAAATATCTTATGCTACAGCCCATTACACCTTTTCACATATCCATTGAGACATTGTTACATAACTATTTGACAAATTTCATAACCGAATGGCAGAACACATATCGAATGACAATCTAAAATAACTGTTGGTGGTATGTCATTCTCCAATTGTTACATTCTCAAACTATATGTAGACTGTCGGTTTATTGTTCACGTCTGTCAACTTCATAACTTGTGTCAATCATTTCCGTTAGCATGAACGAACAGTTATTTTAGAGTGTCATTCGATATGTGTTCTGTCTGTCATTCGGTTATGAAATTTGTCAAATAGTTATGAAACAATGTCTCAATGGATATGTGAAAAGGTGTATTATAATGCACAGGAAACGAAGTAATAAGAGAAGGGAACGTATTTAGAGGAATCAAGATAATATGAAGAGCAAGAACATGAGAATCCAGATGACATGGTAGTAATGGTGAGCACAAATGGTAACAATGGAAGAGGAATTGTTGTGAAAAGAATACCTAGTGAGAGCATTGCTCCAAGGCATTATAAGTCAGATGACTGGACAGAGCCAGTCACAATTGTACCATACAGTATACTAAGACTTTGGCACACAAGGAGGCAGCATAGCCAGCACTGCACTTGACTATCTTCACTTCCCCAACTGTAAATTTGGGTACAGTACTTATTTACAGGTGGGTGGAGTGCGAGTACCCTGGGATTGAACCAGCGACCCTAGGGACAGGAGATGAACACTGTATCCACTTGGCTACTGAACTGTTTAGATATTCATACTGACCATTTGCTTACACAGAGCTTCCACCCATGATATCTCTTGGCAAAAGGATTACACTATCAGTAATTTATTTTTAAACTTCCTAAGGTCTCCAACCAACAATACATGTGCTGTACTTGTGGCATAATGAGCTATGGCTAGCCATATTATGTAAATTATTTCCATAGCATCACATTAAGCTGGACTCACTTTAGTCTAGCATAAATAAAGATGAACATCAATGTACAATACAAATAGGCCTAAGCCAGATTTATTTAGATTATAGATGAAACAACCTGTTTAGATTAAGTACACTACCCCCTCGCTTAACGCAGATTTGCTCAATGCGAATTTGCTCAAACAGAGTTTTTTTTATTACTATCCAGTCTCACTTAACACAGGGCTAAGATTTGCCCGAACACGGGTTGAGCCGGGCTAACACGTGTTTTGTGTGGGCCAGCAGTTCAGTCCACTACAGTCCATAGGTAGTGTCCCCCCCCCTTGCCTCGTGGACTTGGAGTTTAGCTATTACTCGGTCCAGCCACAACCAAAAAGTTTGCTTTGATTAACCTCAGTTTTTTCACTTGCTTTCTCGAAGTGCCCCTCTGCTTAGGGACACTCCAGCAAAGAAGAATAGTACTACATTTACCCTAGAGAGTAAATGAGACATTCTTCAACAACTAGAGCGAGGTCAATCCACCACTTCTGTCGGATATGAATTTGCTGTGAATGATTCAACCATCTGTACTATCAAGAAGAATGCTGAGAAGATTAGAGCCACTGTGCAGCAGTAAGGAACCCAAGACTAGAGAAGGTGGAGAAAATGCGAGTGTTTGGGTGGAAGACCAAAACAAGAGAAGGATGCCTCTCAATGCTCCCTTGATTTGTACAAAGGCACACCAGTTGTACAAACATGCAAAGCAAATGGAGGCAGGCCCTTCAGACAATGTACCTTTTCTAGCCAACAAGGGGTGGTTCAGCAACTTCAGGAAATGCGTGTCTCCACAACATGCAGCTGAAGGGTGAAGCTGCGTGTGTGGATGCTGCTGTATCTGCTTTCCCGGCTGTGTTAACGGCAGCAAGTGTTGAACACGGAAAAATCAGGCTTCTTTTGGAAACAGATACCCAGCCAAACATTTACCTCCAAAGAGGAGAAAAGTGCTCCAGGTTTTAAAGCAGCCAAGGATCAGTTAACCCTTCTGCTGTTTGGTAAAGTCAAAGGTGACTTCAAGCAAAAGCCCATGCTAGTGTGCCACTCCCAGAATCCAGAATCCATATGCCTGCAAGGAATCCAGCACCTCAACCCTGCCAGTGCACTGGATGGCCAACAAAAAGATATGGATGTCTTCGTGAATGTTTAAAGAGTGGTTCATGAAGTGGTTTTGCATGGAGGTTGAGAGGTATTGCCAATGCTCCAACCTGGCTTTCAAGGCTTTGTTGCTCCTGGATAATGCCCCCATCACCTTAACAATTTGCACCCAGATGTGAAAGTGATGTTTTTGCCACTGAACACAACAGCTATGATCCAGCCTATGGCTCAGGGGTCAGGCGTATATTGACTCAGTTGCTGACTTGGTTACAACATCCTCCATGCTGTCAACAACATTAAAAGTTCCTGGGATGAGGTAAAGGACATGACAATGAATGCAGTGTGCAAAGTGTGTGTTCACTCCATCATCAGCTTTGACAACCCCCCAGAAGTGGCCAAGATTGTTAAGTTTGCCCGAACTGTGGAGGGTGATGGGTTCCAGGACATGGAGGAGGAGAAGGATGTCCTTGACCTGTTGGAGTCCCACACTGAAGAGTTGTCTGCTGAAGACCTAGGGCAGCTGATTCAAGAGAAGAAAGTCCAGGATGAAGAACTAGTTAATGCTGCTGTGAAGTCTGAACTGACCACCAGGAGGCTGGCTCACTTCTTCAGCATCACAGACCAGATGGCCGAGGAAGCTGTAGACATAGAGCATAGTTCATTGCTTGGGAAAGGGCAAATCAGCTGTTTTCCATGTACAAAAAAAAGCAGTTGAAGGCAAAGCAGTCGACCATGACCCAGCCCAGCCCTGTCATCTCCAGTCGATATTCCTCTACCATCATTACCTAGTTCCAGTGATAAGAGTGAAGAAGACGTCCTACACATACCATCATCCTTCATACCCTTCACATGGAAGTACAGTATATTTATTATTCTTATTTAAATGCTTATTCATCATGTTTAAGTTCGACATTCTTACGACTAGAGAGCGGCTTTCAGTAAACGAATGACGAAAAGATTAGAGCTGTAATTTCGGGTAGATAAGAATAACTTTCTTCTTATTTTTTTTTATTCAATTACATGCACACACAATCCTATACTGTATACAGAATGTAAAAAAAAAACCCCTATCATTGGGTCAAATAGATAAAATGAATAAACAATTCTTCATGCAAATGGCTGCGGTGTTAAACTTTCGGCAACTCATTTCATGGACATGCCAGTGCCTCCAAAACATCATGCTTAAGTGAATTTGATAGAAATACAATATGTGTATTAGTGAGCTACTTTAGAGCTGTATGATGTCTTTCAACTTAGGTTTTGGGTGTTTTTGGAGTGGGTGGGGGACATTTTGGCGTCCACCTGATGCATCCCTTATCTCCCTGTGTTATAATGGGTTTGCTCTACACGGCATATTCTGGGAACGCGACCTCCACATTAAGGGAGAGGGCAGTGCACTTCAAATGCCAGATATCAATTACATCTAGACTGCATTAGTTATTCATGCATCATGAATGGGCAGCTTTAAATAATGTATAATGTATTCCTATACCTGCACTGTACTCTGAAGATTATAGAATCATAATCACCCATAAGCTGTCTATTTTAGCTATACTGTACTGAAAATGTTCACTGTACTACAATATATTCTAAATTTCATTAAATAACAGTGATAATGATGATGAAAATTCCAATAACTACAATTAATAGCAAACATTAAAATACACAAGATGCAATGAACACTAAAACCAGACTTTTTTATTTTGTTTTATGAAATTTTACTTTCAAAGTTCAATGTCAGGGATCAGAATATAATAATTATAGTGTACTAAATAGATCAAACTAAAATGGGGTGAATCTATAAAATCTACAAATGTAATGATTTAGATATAAAATTCATTCTATTGCAAGTGTTTTATAATAGTGCCTGTACTGTACCGCCAGTACAGTATCTGTACAAGACAAACACTGTACCCGGTAAAACAAAATTAATCACTCCTGTTATCAACTGAAGACTATCAGATTAATACATTAAAACATTCATTTCATTAAAGTACTGTACAAGTAGATATTACATACCGTAAGCATTTATTATAATGATAACTGAAAAACAAGAGAGAGAGTATTACAGTACTGTATGTATATTGAAACATCAGTACAGCAGACCAGCGCCAATAGTGGATTTCCCATCCGCGGATTCCAAGAACGTATCTACTGTTTCTACCCTGTATACAATTTCACCAACCATGGCATTTGAATTTCGAGTATCTGCGGATTAATGTGGCGTCTCTATCCCTCAGTGGTCTAATGAATTCCTCTGTAAATGTGAGGAAGGAATAAAAATAATACTAATAAATAAAAGAAAAAATAATGCATTGTCATTTGATATAATCGTTTCACTAAGGATGTGTGAGACAGGAGCATCCCCCCCCCCCCCGAAAGTTGGTGGATGAGTGTAAAAGACTGGAAAACTTGGCCGCTCAAGCCGTCAGCAGAGGCGGGAGATATGAAGTTGTTCGCAGTCATATTTCCTGCCTCTGGTGATGCCCTTGTAATATTTCATTGTGATTCTTATCTTTTAAAATGTTAGTTTTTACCTAATATAGTATTACTGATATGTAATTTGTCTTAATATGCCTTATTGCGGGTAATAATAAGTATATATTAAATGCGTCCTCCAAAAGCGTGAATTTGCTACCAGAGTTTAACAGTTAATTCATGTATAAGATTTCTGTTAAACTTCCTACGTGTTCATGTTTAAAATAATGAACATGTGTATCTTTATATAATTTAGCTAATTATCTTTCTTGTCAGAAAGTCATCCCAACAATTATGAATGAAATCATTTAGAAATACTGTACATCATTACTTCAGGATGAAATCGGACAGATTTGCAACAGCCAATCAGCT